AATTTATTTGTAGATATTTAATACGTTACGGATGTCCCACCTACAGAACTTAATGTTTCGGGAAGGTCTAACATGGTAGAAATATTTAAGGGTAAAATCGCCTTAGCTGCTCCATTTTCGGCTTTGACTAAAACTTCGTTTGATGACTGTTTAAATAATCTTGAGTGTATATTGTGATACCAAGGAACTTCTGATCACAGAATATGACTGGCCTGACGACTCCAGGCTGTTCGAGTTAGAATACAAACTTTCGAGCCGACGACGCCCGTCACGACGCGATAATTACTATCGTTGAGAGAATCAATGATGGGAAGATTCAAATCCTCCCAGTATAAAGAAAATAAACGTGTAAACAAATAAAGCAAACGAGCTCGTGGGTATGGCTATAGCACCAAATTTTGAAACTGGCGTTACATTTGCTTTTATTCCAAGTGCCTATGTATCAAATTTCTTTTAAATACCTTTATAAATAAAAAAGTTTGCAACTCGGTTCATAAATGGTCGAGATGCGAAAAGGGCATCGTGAATGTTGAATAGATTAAATTCAATTTTTGGCATTGCATATTATATGGATAAAGCTATGGCCGTATTGAATTTCATGCAATTCGGTTCATAACTAACGGAGATTGTCAAAAGGGCCTTTCTTATGTTTTTACCTACATTGCCAATTCACGAACTTCGATCTATACATTTGATAAAGAATGCTCCTGCAAAATTTCATCGGAATCGGCCTATTCGATTTCGAGATATTGCGCTACCGGACAGACGGACAGACTCCGCAAAATTATACACTCGCTAGGAGTTCGTTAATAAGCATCCTTTATTTAAAAATGTTTTATTCTGTAGCCGAATGAGCTAGCTTCTAGTCGGAGGCAATACAATGTTTAGTATGTCAATATAAAATTATGGCTCCCAAATTTTCTTCTTAAACGCCGCAAAATCATATGTTTTAGGGGAACCTAATTGTATTTACCTTATGCAACGCTGGGGATCATTGTAGCAACCAGTTTTTGGTGAGGTTACGATTTCGAAAACAAACTTTTTTTAGTCGTAAGAAGAAGCGGCTCGATAGTTGTCTTTCTTATACACAGAGGGTGCTGGCCAAATTTCATATAAATATAACAATTTTTGTTCCTCCACAAGATCAGCTTCTGCGTAAGCGAAAATTCAAGGGAAAGGAAATGGATCAACATTATACATATAATATATACATAAAAATTCTTTGTGTGACCTCTAGCGGCAGAATAAGGACCTACAAAATGAAAACTATACCAATAATCTAAACCACAACGAATTTACAGAAATATACAGATGTCGTAAAGGGTATCGGAAAGAATGTTTAATTAAAAGTTGAAAGCAACAAAACGTTACAATTTTCTTACAATACCGGACTTCTTGAGGAAGTCGATTCAACATCCCTGTGTTGAAGAAGTGGTTCCAACAAATAAAGAAATCTGACAAATTCATTGTTTATTGCGCGTAACTTTTTCTGTACTAACAGGTTCTGAGTAAGGGAGGTTTTTGGTGCCGAATGCGTCGAAATTAGCATGACGTGTGGGAACGCTTTCGTATATACGGTCATGGTGGGAATTTTGCATTTGAATGGCAGTATCAAATTTAGATGAATACAGATATACAACAGAATTTCAATAGAAGCGGCCAGCAAAAAGGGCACTTTGGTTTAAAAAAAATGGGTTACGTTGATCATTACGGGGCGATAAAAGCGGAGTTGGTCGCTCATTTTCTTATTTATGTGCTTTGGGCTCGTACACTTCAATTTGCGAAGCTTCTTTTACAGCTTATGTCTTTATGCAAATCAAACGTTTTAATTACAAGGACCTGTAAAGCTTTTAGTCCTAATGGTTTTTTTTACAGAAATTCTGCATTAGCATCACTTCTTTCATACGAAAGTTTACAAGAAATTGGTAAAATACTCACTCAGATCAGAATGACAAAGTTTCTTCTAACCTCGAGTACAGAATCTGGAAAACGTGCATTACACCCTTTTTGTACCCATCGCGGTATTTTAACGCTATAAGCCTGTTGTTATATAGATTTTCCGAAAATGCTTTATAAAGAACGTTTCCATTTATTTACCTCAGATATATGAATATTACGTCACGCCGTTTATATCGTATTGTGAGTAGGAGCTAAATCACTTGTAAAATTTTCATGTGATTTGGTTTTTCCGGTGTTGCGAGAGAGGTATTTAATTTATGGCTTTGGTTAAAATGTAAATCTTTTGTGTTTTATCATGTGCAATTCTACGGTTATGTATGTTCCTTTTTTGTTCGCACTGTCTATTATTTTATAAATAGTCTTTTGCCGCGTATTTATGTCACGAATCTCGAACGTTTTCAGAGCTAGCGTGGATTTTATATGAAGGATTACCTAACAAAAGCTACTTTTAAGAATTTCCTTTCGAAATTTAATGCAACGATATATTTTATTTATTTATTAAAAAAGCAATGATTTTGAAGTATTATTATTATGGCAATTAACCGGATGTTTTGTAATGCTTGAAGTAATTTTTAATCGAGTCTAAACACTTATCTCCTATTGTGGAGGATTTCATTGAATCTTGGGAAATTACGACTTTTCTATTTAACTGAGTTATTAGTCAGTCCTAGTTGTGGCTTCCAAATTTTGTATTTATTTTCAATTTCTCACTTCACATTCACGTTTATGTACCAGTTCGAATATCATTAGTACCTGCCCATTGCACTTTGACCTGTGCGGCGTATATTAGTTTGTAGAATGCAGACTTGTAGAAAGACAACACCAAACAGCGCTTGAAGCGGAGACTCCGTTATTGGGCCATTTATGTTAACTTTTCTGTTCTTCGATAATTAATCAGGTTTGTAATTAGTGGGTAATTTCTCTTCAAGGGATTACCTATACCAGTGTTAATTTTGTTTTAACTTTGAAAGTCAAGATCGATCTGATTTTGGAACGCGCTTTTCTCTTGGCCAGTAAATATCGACACAAAAAATCACTAAACTCTCAAAATATGATGTACCTCTGATTTTTTAGTTTTTTGTTTGGGCCCACTAATGTAGTGTAGAAGAAAAGGAACACATGTACATGGATAGAAAGGGGTGACTTGATTACAATATGCTCAGAAACACACACTATGACATGCCACGATATGTACTATGGAAAACGGGCCCTAAGCCAGCCACAAACCACCTATTCAGATAGCTCTAAACAATTCAAGTCACTTACAAAAACAATTGACATGAAACTCTTAAAATCGAGGACCGTAATTTTGGCTCAAGCTGATATAAAACTTTATTAAAACATAACACAAATTTAAATAAAGTCTTAATTAGGTACCTTGTAATGTCCATAATCCAAATATCCAGTCTTACACAGTACATCCGAAAACCGAGAAGTAGAGAGCACGACCACAAGAAATGGGTCTGACTCCATCCAACGGAAAATACGGCTGCGGTGGTGAAAAGGCCCAAAAAACAGCCAACAGCCTCGGCATCCGTTAAAGCAGTTCCTCTTCTATTTAACACATTTCCAAATCTTGCCCGATCTTCGACTCCACCTCATAATTCTTTACTTAAAATAAACATAATTCTCTTACCTAAACGCGCACCTACGTCAAACCCTTTACAAAATCAATTAATTTCTGCGAATATTTCCTTCATATGTAATAAATCCCATATGAGGTGTGCAATTATCGCTCAATTACAGCGATAATTTTTTATTCAAGCATGTTGTCAGTAAGAAACTGCATTGGGTCATTTTGATATTTTGTTAAAAGTGGAGCTCTTTCGCCAAAATATGAAAATAAACTGATGCAGTTTTTAGACAACATGCTTTCAAAAAAATTATCGGTAATTTTGATGCACTTGTGCCCTACGATAATTTATTATCTACGACCAGAGAAAAACATGAGATAAAGTTTTGGAAAATTATGCAAATAATTTCGAAATGTTCCTTATCCTGTAACACAATTCAATACGACCAAAATATTAATTTACATTTAATGTTACTAAAATTCGTCCAGATCTGTGGTATCCCATTTAACACATTGGAACAAATAATATTCCGGTGGCTATTGTTAATAAAGAGACGACCAATTCATTTGTTGCTTTGAACGTAAACCAGTATAAAGCAACTTTACTATATTAAAAGGTTCAATTAGCGCGATTGCAAGTTGTGTAATGTCTACGTCTACAATCCAATTTCTTCCATTGCGCGGGGAAGGGGGGGGGGGGAGAGGATAATTACTTCATTTAGCGCTCTCTGTATCCACGCTTGTGGTTTCACGTTGTTTAACAAAGTTGTTAATTAATTATCTAATATGTTTGAGGTTTTCCTTGTTTTATTCGTTTCCGCCCTAAGTTGTATTTGGTTTATTTGCGACATCTTCCTGTTCTCTTCCACATTAATCAATAAAAATAAGATTAAATGAGAACCGCGAAGGGAGAAAATGCTGAAAGGATGCATTAAAGCGGAAATGAAATTGTTCTACTAAAACTAATAAAAATAATAACGATCGCATGAAATATGAGTTTGCAAACAATATTGGAGACGAGTTATGGGACTAGGCAACCAAAATCCAGATGCCCTACTATTGACGTACAAGCTCTTCCGCACTAATAAGAAAGAATCCGTTTTGAAGACATCAAGCAAATGGCAAATGAAAATATTGTTTGGTTTGCTAAATATGGTCTTTATACGCTTTTTATCTTCCGTTCGTTCTAGGTTACACACCTTTTTTTTAAACTGATTGCGAAATTTTTCGCGAAACGCCTCGCCTACAGTGTCTGACAAGGGATCGTGTTATACTGCAGGCTCAATTATAAGAGCTTAAGCGTTTTAGTTGAACAGGACGACAGTTTCTCCAACGGTGATGTTACATCGTTAAAGATTTAATGACGATTCCGGTCAGCCAAAAGGAATAAAACGTGATTTGTATTGTGCCCTTTGGTTTTTACGTACCCTTTGTCCTTTCTTACGTTACAGCTCACAAACGCAATTTACTAACTCGTGTCTTTTTTTTCAGATTTTAACGACTAGCAGTGCCAGTAATTATACATGGTGAGTGTTAAAAACATTCCTTAATGACGTATTCAAATTATTTCATTTCGTTTTTTTGCTTATTAAAAGCAAACAGCATCTCATATTTTCGTACAGGCCATGAACTTATTTTCGTTCTACCTTTAATTTTATCTCTGAGTGAACTCAAAAAATACATTTACTTATATTTATATATTTATTTTGTAAACACACCCTTATTAAAAGATGTAATAACGATCATCATACTGAAAAAAAGACCTTAACCGAGTTGCTTGGAAAGTTATAATAATAATAATAATGTTTATTGAGCATACATCTAAACGTAACAAAACAATAAAATAATAATGTTGTACAGCTCAAAAGGTAATGAATTCGGCCTAAAGCCGTTTTTAATTAAGATATAAGGTAGCTAATTAGCGGAATACGTGTTGGTGATTTAATAGTTATATTATTTCTATAGTTATAGAATTTGTTGTGGGTCTTCCTTTTTTGATTTATTTATTTATTATTTATTTAATTATTTAAGGTGCCGGCAGTTGCAGAGAAGCCATTATATAGTTCTTGGTAGCATTTGGAATTGTGTCCGTAATGGAACCTATCCAACTTTGATTTTGGTTTCCTATGTTAATTTTAATTGTGCATTAAAGCTCCAAGGTCTTGCAGTTCATTTAATTATCGCAGACCTGCTGCCTGTTGACTCGAAATTCCAGGTACCAATTGGTAACGAATTTGAACATTTTAATTCGGAAAATTAAGTTAGTAATTAAGTGACTCGTTAAATGAGTTGCAGTAAATCGCATCCGAACCAATCGTGAGTGGTTTCATTAGAAGCGCGCTTAATTAAGGTAAATTTTAAGACCAATGATACATTTTTATGTTTATCACAGGCCGCACAATTAAATAAAAAAGTTTTAATTTTTGGATGTAAACAATCGAATACGCTGTGTCGACTGGAAAAGCCGTCATATGAAATAGCCGAAGGTAACCCCGTTGTTTACAGTGTATACTGTTCGATTGTCTTCTGTCGCGTACTCAATCTCGTAGCTTAATACCAGAAAGTTAAGAAGAGTTCTTGCTATCGTAAAATAATATACTATACTCGCAGTTCTTCTTGGTCGGTCGAGATTGCAAATGACACACCGGTATTGCTACGAACTACCCGATGTAGTTTTTATTCTTTTGAACAGCACGATTACATTTACGATTTTGTGGATACACTGGCACTTTGTAATTAAACTATCTTAGTTTATCGCTCTGTAGGTGCACAAACTCGCGTTTTGATTTGCGGCCACGTCACAGTGGCGGCGCGTTGAATACGGAACACAATTTCATCAGAAAAATCTTCCGTGCTTGTTTTTGCAAAACAAGACTCGAATTTGCGACTGACACGGTTGGAGACTTCCGTGAACCGCGACTGAATTCTTTTTCAATTTTTTTTTAAATCAGAGGATACGGTTGAGCCGCGATCAAGACGCGAATAATAATTCTTGAGGGGAGACGTTTCGTACCGAATTTAATTCCAAATTAGTTAATATTGTGCAACGTTTTTCTCTGGAATCACCAAGTACAGTTCTCTAGTATGACTCCCGCCAATTTTACTTCATGAATGACACTCATAAAATGGCGAATTATCAACCCAGGCGGCCAGCTCTAGTCGTACTTTTACTACTGTTTCTTTGCAATACCAATTACAGACATCCCACACGAATTCCAAAATGCAAGCTTTTCCTCGCTTGTGTTGAAATCATTCTTATTTTCAAAAACTCTAAATTCACAAGGGAACTGAAGTAATTTCTCTGCAAATTCACCCTCCGGTCATAAGTATATATGTAGTGTATGACTGGAATTCTTTTTAATTTATCAACGAATTACTATATTCAAAAATGTATCCGAATTAACATCGAAATCGTTCCAGTAGACATTAAAGTTATGCGGAGTTTCCGGGACTTTGTTTTTTGCGCAAAATCTAGTGCAATAAATAGTTAAGTTTCTGATTTCAAAAAATTTCCTGCTACCAATAAATGCAGATTTATTTTATTATTCACCGTTTTGCACAAAAAAGTCTTTCTTTGTGTACTCAAGAACGCAGTCTCAACAAAAAATCGTTAGGAAACACCGGGATCTGAAATAAATGTGCCTCAAGAACTTTCTCTCATGAGAATATTGGCTTTGAAATGTGAGAAAGTTTATAACTTCAGCTTAAAGCGCAATCTGACAGTTACGAAAGAAGCTAATTAAAATACATAGGCTATTGTAACGTACATTTAATTACGTGGTATATTTTATTTACAATTAATTAGTAATGAATTTATAACAGTATAAATTAATTAATTAATTAATTATATAATTAATTAATTATATAATTAATTATATAAATTAATTTATAACAGAAAATTATGTGTGATACTCGCTCAAACATGTAGTTACAACACACGAGCGCGAAGTCACAACTCATCAGTTCGGCGTCGACTTTTATTACATACGCTTCCATTTGCCGACGGGAAATTTTTTGATTTTTTTTGAAAAGGCGTGTCAAATTTCAAGGAAAGAATGCGTCGCATCCACTTTCATTCTTCATCGCCAGTAATCTTTCATCGACTTGATGGCGCCCCGATGTCTAGGATGCTTTCTTAATGTTTGCGACAGTATCGTTTCCGGTTCCTTGTAGTAGGCATTCTAAACATCCAGTTCCATTTTTCCTGTAACCCTGTAAGCTATATTTTTAATGTTTCATAGTAGATGTATTTATTTGACTTTTAATTAACCCAGGATAAGATACAAAACCTGGAATCAAAATTTGACAATCTACTATACTGACGCTTGCAAATGCCCAATTTTTCTTAAAAATCGATACTTTTCTGATATTCACCATATAATAAAAAAGACGTACAATTACACGTAGAATTAAAAAATGCATTCAAATACAGGGGGTTCTTATTAAAAAAAATGTACCATTTTGGCGCCCTACTTTGAGGCGCACTGTGTATAATTCCAAATATTTTTAAAATGTGGAGAATATTCAACCATATCATAATACAAAAGCACTCTATCGAAAAATCTTATCTTCAAGGCATTAAGTTACTCCGCGCAATCGTTAACTCACCCTGTACTGTAACGCTACTAAGTGAGGTGGTATAGGCAAAGGGACAAATTTACTTGAACTAATAAGTGAGAGACACTCGATAATTTGAGAGTCACTCATCTAACACAAGGAGGCCTTATGGCCACACCCTTGAATTTAAATACACTACTAGAAAATGATTTTTTTAGTACACCTAAGCGGTATATGGGTATTTAATCGACCGTACAACTATTACTAATGAACATTATATACGCCTGTAAAAGGAAAAACTGTATGAAAATCTACAAAAAAGGTAGAGCTATAATAAGCTGGGGTGAAAATTAGAAATGAACACATAAAACAGTATAGATTGACACGGAATAATTTACACGATGTCTGATCCCTATCCGTTTTATCTAAATTGCGCTCAATAAAAAATTGTAGGTAATCAAACTTCTCGTGTCACTTGGGTTGAAAACTTGTTTTATCAGAACATAAAAAAGTTAGCACAAGCCATTTACTGTTTATCACAAAAACCGCAAATAATTAACTATGGTGGAGTGTATAGCACGCGGCGCAATTTGCAAGCTACTTCAGAAAAATGTACAGGATTTACACACTGGTGCTAAACTCGACAATAGGGCAAAATGGCTTGTTACAGTTAAGAATCTTAAATTATTCATGATAGCAAACTCTCGAGCAACTGAAGAGTACAAATCTTATCGTAGCAGAAAATCGTAGTATAAAATGAGCTGCGCGGAAGGTAATACCTCAAGTGGATGACGTATAATATGCATACGATGGGAGCACTCTTGAATCTGACAACCACGTTTAATCCAGCGACTGGCTTCTATTGTACTTTATATTCTGTAGCTTAGCAATTTCGCTGAAGGGTGAATACTTACTCAAACATTTCTACCAAATATGCAATGCTGGTGCATTATCGGTTTTCATTTCCGATTTACTCGAAACCTACGAATTCAAAGAGCTTTTATGTGTTACGTTTTGCATTTTCGCATTTCCCTCTAAGTTACAGTTAATGACTGTTGGAGATTGCAGTTAAAAAAAAATGTGACTGTCACCACCGCAAGTTTTACGCATAAAAAGGACAAGAAACCAATTTAAATTAGTTCTCAATTGCTATTTCAGAGAGGAGTTAAAAGATAATTTTCAATATATGTCGGCGAATTTTGAAGCTCCCATACAAGCAAACATTCACGATTGTTCCAAAAAATAGGAAACGATTTCCGCTGAAGTATTTGAACTAGTAAGAGACTTCCTGTCCGTTTCAGTTGTTGAAAGACGTGTCTCCAGTAAGTTTTTAGCGTAGATGAATAAAATATTGTGGAGTCTTCTTTCAAACGATGTAGCGGCCATCAAGTCCAGTAATAAACGTTTATTAATCTCGGAACGTTTAAGAATAAAATTGCTTCATAAATCAAAATTACCAAATTAAGAAAGTTTCATTACTCTCTTCAAAGGGGTTGTTTTCGAAAACCACCTGTTATATACTGGGGAATATTCGTGGCTTGAATTGTCCAGATATGTGGTTTCATGGGATGGATTACCCAAGGATGGCAAACGAAGCCACCCATAAATCACCTATCCAGCTAGCTCAATTTAATAAAGTCACTCATCACAACAACAATAATTAACGTGAAGCTCTTAAACTCCAGGGTCGTACTTTGGGTTCAAACTGGTACAAAATTGTTCATTTAAACAACAAAACTTAGTCGGTAAAATTGCTGTAATAAAAAGTGGCGACAATGCCAGCGATAAATGCCACGCTACAAGCGATCTATCGAAACAGATTAAATAAAGTTCTTAGTTTTCGCTTTCACACCTTCTTTCTTTGAAGTCCCTCCTTACGCTTTCCTCCAGATTTTCCGTTGACTCTACGCCCGCTTTACATCTCTCCTTTTTACATTTCTTTCATTCAACTATTTCCCTTTAACGCTCC